AAAAGAACACAAAATAACACAATTTGATAACACAATTTGGTGAATGATCCATTCCAATACCTTGATGTCTGATGGCCCAGGATCCTAGTAAAAGGATAGGCAGAACATTGACCCAGGAGCAGCCCTCCTCCCCAGGTCGGTACAGGTAAGACCTTTGCTGGTGGTCTTGGAATGATTGTCACAAGCTCGCTCTCTGCCTTCCTTCCTTCTTACCTCTCGGGGTAAACTGTGAGTTGGCACAATATAAAAGGATGTGTGGACAGTTCCCCCCAGCTAGGGGGACAAATGAGGGAGATTAAAGTGCAATAAGTAGAGCATTTTCTAGCACAGTGCACACTGAGGTTGCTGCTGGACCTGGTCTCGGATTTTACTGAACAGTTTGGGGAATTCCATATTGTTCTGAGATATTTGCTTTCACTTCCTGTTGTGTCTCTGGGACAGGAAATTAAATGAAATCTCTCCAACTAGACACAGAGAGCAAGAAACCCCAATACCATGCCCAATACACAAGTAAAAATAAAGATTTGGCTTTAGATACTCTTCAATACCTTTTGAGTTACAATACACTTCCAACAACCTCAGTTACATTGTAATGACATTAATTAAAGGGCCACTTCACATAAAGCTGATTTGTGATCATTGGTTGGACCATCCTTTCTCAGGCAAGGTTCCTTGGAACTGTTGGGTTCCTCCAGGGGTTACCAGAAGTTCCTTAAGTAATTGGCAATGTCTGACTCTCAGATAACCACTGATCTTTGTAGCTCTCTGTACGTGGGGCATTCCTTCCATTGACCAATAATGTAAAAGGCATTGTACCTAATGGCCACCGATGTAGGGAACATTTATCCAACTAACCGCCAATCCAAGGGGACCCATCTCCCTGTGACTACCTATCAAAGGAGGCCCATTCCCACTGACCCCCAATGTAAGGGAACCCTTCTCCACTGACTACCAATTTAAGCTGGGGGCCTTAACCCAATGACCACCAATCTAAGGTGGGGGCCTTCTCCGAATGACCACCAATTTGAGGCGGGGGCCTTCTCCGAATGACCATCAATCTAAGGTGGGGACCTTCTCCCAATGACCACCAATTTGAGGCGGGGGCCTTCTCCCAATGACCACCAATTTGAGGTGGAGGCCTTCTCCAAATGACCACCAGTTTGAGGTGGGGGCCTTCTCCCAATGACCACCAATCTAAGGTAGGGGCCTTCTCCCAATGGCCACCAATCTAAGGTAGGGGCCTTCTCCCAATGACCACTAATCTAAAGTAAGGGGCCTAATCCCAATGACATTGACCACCAATCTAAGGTGGGGGCCTTCTCCCAATGACTACCAGTCAAAGGAGACGCATCTCCACTGACCACCATTGTAACGGGACCCTTCTTCACTGACCACCAATTTGAGGTGGGGCCTTCTTCTAATGAAAACCAATAAAGGTGGGGATTTGGACTAGTATTTCGAGACCCCAGCCCCCCCCTCTCTGCTGCTGCCATTACTAGGGAGCCTCCCTCTGGCTACTGAAATGTTTTATTTTTTTTTACAGTATAAAGAATGCCACATGGGGAGCCATTTGTGCCAGGTGGGAGCTACATGAAGCTGAGACCTTTTATAAGGAAACCTCTCTGCTGGAGCCTCAAATGGGCACACAAATCCAAAGCTTGACCCATCCTGCCGGCACCCACCTCTATCTAAAATATCAGTTTTGAAGTGAAATGACTCTTTAATTTTCCATTTGTAAACAGAAACCCATAACCAAACGCATACTGCACAAGGCCCCACTGTTGTTCACGTCTTCTCCATCGCTTACAGTGACAAAGGCTCATAGGAACAAGTGGCCGGATCTTCCTCTGTAATGGCCACTCTCAGAACTTCAGATAATATATATTTCATGGCTTCTATGTTACAGCTTGTAAAAACAACGCATGGCTTTTTTCATTTCTGACTGCGCACTCAGGGATCCATTCACACCAGCCTAAGGCGTTCTATTTTCAGCCGTGTGACAGTTATTTTTAGATTTCAGTGGGCTCAGCTGAAAATAGCTGTCACTTTTTTGAAAATAAGAAAACTTGCTCTGATGTGTTCGCCTTGTGAATGAAACAAACCGGAAACATCATCTTTGTAATTTTATCCCCTTTTACCAGCTTAAAGCTGAACTCCGGGATCCGGGATCTATAGTGGTCCTCCCTGCACTGTAAGGGCCTGTTCACATGAGTTTCAGGTCCTGATCTGGTCCAGATCTGGTGCGGATCAGCAGACGCTGTGCTATGTGTTTTGCCGCGTTTTTGCCGCGTTTTTGATGCGTTCCACTAAAACAAAAACAAAACAAATTTTTTTTTCTGGAGTGGGGCTGTCAGTAGCTGCAGTGCAGTGCATTTTTGACGCGTTTTGCGTTTCCGGACCGTTTCCTGTACAAAATGTGACATGCAGTATTTTTTTTGTCGTAACCTGAACGGACTGCACACGTGAGAACTGTAGCCCATAAAACACATAGGGATACATTGGGATGCATTTTTAGTGCAGGAGCGTACGGATCAGGTCAGCACAGAAAACGGACGTCGTGTGAACAGACCCTTAGGGTTAAATGCTCAAGTCTATGGGTAGAGAAAGAAGCTGTTATCAGGGCCTGATTTACTCTCTCTTCTGCCCCAATGCCAGGTTCCTCAATGCAACTACCCCCCCTGTATGCAGGCTGTATACAAGTGACAAGTTGCGACATCGTCGAGATCACTTGTACAAAACAAGTGGCGGCTTCCCCGCTGTTCATGTTCCCGAGAGAGATAGGAATTTCACACCCCTGCTGTCCAGGGGGCAGTGCTTTGTTGGCCTTGTGGAAAATCCAGCCCTGGCTGCTATACTCGCCTTATTCCTTGCTCCAGCAGGCGCTCACCTCTGGGTTGGGGGCGGACCCTCGCGTTCCTCACGTACAAAGCAGGACTATTGTTTCTGCATTGTATGTGATGACATCAGACTGCGACCGGCAGCTGGAACGTTATAGAGAGGGGTTTCGGGGGGGACCAGTCCCACAGGTTGTAGGAATGCTGCCAGACTGAGGAATAAGGAAAGTGATATAGTTTATACCTCTACCCCTAGACTTACAGAACATTTACCCCCTGGAATGTGGGGGAGGACCCAATGCAAGGGTATTTTTTCTTCTAGTGCCCGGAGTGGGGCTTTAAAGTATCTGTAAACCCAATCAGTAAAATCTCATAGAAGAGATTGTTGTCATTTCAAAAGTCATGTTTAATATTTTTAAAGGAGAACTACGAGGTGAGTGAAAATAACTCAGCCTCATAGTTCGAGCCGACCTGTGACAATGAAACTGTCACACGTTGGCTCAATAGATCGGGAAGGGACACATACCGTCGCTCGCTCACGTCTCGATCCTGTCCCTGCAGAGAGCAGTGACTGTCACTCACGGCTCCCTGCAGGGATTCACCCCCACCCTCCCCTGTCCGATCCTCCAGCGCTGACTGGCGGATCGGACGGGGGAGGGGGGCGGGGATTACGGTCCCCCAGCTAGTGTGAAGGAGGAAGGGAAGACACAGAGAGGCGGCTCCCTGTCCCTCACTTACTCGTCACTGCTGAGGCATCGAGATTGATAGCCTCAGTTTTGTTTTTTTTTGTTTTTTTTGATTGGACAGCTTGGACCAATGGTGCTTTGCCATTGGTCCAAGCCATCCACAAAGTTCACGCCTTCGTAGCCCATTGTACCCTTAAAAGCCCACCAGAAACCCCCTTAAATTTCCATCTTCTCTGTTGACCGCAATGCATCTCCTCAAAATGGCCAAATTGCGCTGAATTGTTATAATTTTCTCCAAATTCTAATGAAAATTAAAACCTAATCAAATTCATCCCTAATTTTGGAGGACCCATCGAAAAGAGCGGTTCTGGTGATCTGGTTGTGATGTTCAGTTTGTACTGAATTGGATGGAACAAATCTTGTTACTGGAGATTCGAGAGATTAGGAGCTGACATGTGATTCAACTTGGTGGTCACCATACAAAACTGAAATATATTTTTTGGATGAAATTAACCTTTAAAAATTGAGGTGTTTCCTGTAGCAAAAATAATTTTCCGGTAATTTTCCGGTAGTCATCTGTGAGGCTGCTACACGCATGTACTTCACCCTTCCCGTCCTCTGTTCTATACATCAGCCTCCATGTATCTAAGTGACCTTGTAGCAATAAGTCACATTCACTCGGACTTGCTTTGTAACATTGAAGACATTTTGCTACTACTTCAGTCAGCTGCCTCGGCTCTATTGATTGCCAGGAACATAGATTAAAGGAGAACTATGGGGTAAGTGTTTTTGCCATAGTTCTCCTAAGGGTCAGGAGAGGACATAAACTAGCGTCCTCCCGTCACCCAAAGCCCAGTATATCGCGAAGCTACAGCTCACGATAAACTGAGACCGCCGCAGCCGGGATGGATCCCGACATTACTGTTGAGATCCACCCAGCTGCGTGAGTGACAGCTGGCTCCGCCTATCTAGAGGCAGAGCCAGCTGTACCCGCCCCCTCCCCCAGTCAGCGATGGAGGATCGGAGAGGGGAGGGGGGGGGAATCCTTGCAGGGAGCCGTGAGTGACAGTCACCACTCTCTGCAGGGAGATGATCGAGAAGTGAGCGAGCGACGGTGTGTGTTCGCTCACTTCCCGATCTACTGAGCCGACCTGTGACAGTTTCATTGTCACACGTCGGCTCGAACTATGAGGTTGAGTGAAAAGCACTCACCTCATAGTTCTCCTTTAAGGTGACTAAATTACCCCCGTGGCTATAAATACTGGGGCAAGTTCCTGACAATCCCTAGAGTGGAAGACACTCGGATAGTGAATAGTGAAACATTGTCAACATTACAAAGTAGGTTGAGTTGAATGTGACTGACTACGACTAGGTATATCATGACCCGGACAAATCAGAACCTTCTCAGTTCAAGTAACCCCAGACATCAAACTTTCCGAATTATTGAATGATCCTTCCATTGTCTTTCCAGCCAGAACATTCACCTGTCCACACTGGTCTCTGCCAGTCTATTATTCATAATTGCTAATGCCCCCACACCACCTGAGAAGCCATTGTGCCGGGAACTTGTGCCGATTTGCCTCGGGCAGCCGTTGGCCGTCTCCGAGAGTTGCTTCTGCATGATGGCCAAGGAGACTTTGTTGGAGGCCAAGAAGTCTTTCATGGAGATCATCTCACCCGACATCCTCCGGCCGTCCGTCTCGCTCTCATAAACGCCGTCCGTCTCAATAGAGATGTTCCGTCTAGTTCGAACGTTGCCCGGCATGACCACGTTCCTTTTGGGCCTAAATATTTTTCTTTGGCATCTTTGGCAACATCGGCATTCTAGCTTCTTTAATATCCAATTGATGCACTGCTTGATGACTATCGAGATCACGTTGAATAAGGAATATATACAGCAAACCCCCATGAAGATGAAGATGAAATTGCCGCAACGGTAAAGTCCTTGGTTTTCATATTTGGCTTTTTGACTGCTGACCATGTCACCGAATCCGATAGTGCTGAAGGCAACAAAGCAAAAATAGAGGGAGTCGAAGTAGCCCCATCCTTCGATGGGCGAGTACATGGCAGAGGCACAGCAAGATATGATAATGGCCGCAACGCACAAAATGAGCATTACGTAATATACGGATGGTTTCCATCCAGCTAGACTGTCCACCTCCGAGTTACCAGAGCCCCGACGTGTTTCGGGAGGCATGCCCTCCTTCCTCCTCAGCTGCCTCTCGTGAAACGACTTCATAATAAAGGCGATGACTGTGATCAGGCGTTCCAGGAAGAGGTTGAAGAACAAGATGGTGGCCGCACATCCAATCAAGCCATAGAATATGAGGAAAATCTTCCCTGCAATGGTGGCTGGGGTGGTCATGCCAAAACCTGAAAGGCAAAATAGAAATATTTAGCAACTGGCTCTGGTTATAATTGTAGCCACGCATGGCAAATCTTAAAACATGTTTTGTTTTGAAAGTAAAATATCTGAAGGGCTCATTGGAGTGTATGAGATTTGTACAACCTAAGAATCACTGTATGTAGAAGACTGGAAGTGGAGGGATAAGCAGAGTGATTTCTGGCGCAAAATGACCAATTTTGCAAAATTTTGCCAAAAGTGCAAACACCGCATGGGCAAAATTTGTATAGCTGGTCTAAGTAGGGATGCACCAATACCGATACTAGTATTATTATCAGTACCGATACCGAGTATTTTGGCAAGTACTCGTACTCACGCAAATGCTCCTGATACTTTTCCCGATACTGGAACTTCCATCGGGTTCCTGATGGGCTGGGAAGCCATCTCCGTGCTCCCATGGAGCTGACTAGCCTGGAAGCCTGTAATAAGTCACCGCTCGGCTTCCTGATTAGTCGTGTTTGTTATGCTCGTTGTGACAAGGAAGCATGGAGCCGGCTTTATGGCCAATGAAGAAGCCGGGGGGTGGGTTTGGCCAAGAAAGCATCCACATGCTTCCTCGTGATGAAGGAGCAGGGAGACGGCTTCCCTGCCAATCAGAAAGCCGAGCAGCGTATAAGGGCTCGCCGCCCAAATTCCTGATTGATCAGGAAACTGGCCAATTCAGGAAGTTGGGCGGCGAGTCATTACCCACCCCCCAGTTTCTGATTGGCCAGAAAGCCGGCTCCATGCTTCCTCTTCACGTTGTGATGAGGGAGCATGGGGACGGCTTTGCAGCTAATCAGGAAGCCGGGCGGCTCCCTTAATTGGACTTCCAGTATCAGTGAGTACCGGAAAAAAATTATTGGTACTTGGTACATCCCTAAGTCCAAGTATTTATTTACAATGCTCCTCAGCACCATCTAGTGGCCATAGTGCGGTATTATATCACAATACATTCGACCTGAGGGGAAAAAAAATAATAATGCACAAAACTAACGTTCGCAGATATTCACAGAGCGACTGGCCCTGCAAATAGTTCATATATAGACCCCGAGGTAGTCCACTGTAGTCTTTATGTGGAAAAAATAAAAGGTGTACGGTCCTTACACATCTCCCCCCCGGATCTTAGCAACCTGGGACACTTTAGCCGGCGTCCCGCCCAGCTTCTGGCAACCAGTGACTTCATAGCCTGTAAAGGGAAAACTAAAGCAGCTTCCACATGTAAGGATTCTCGAGCTGCTATATTTGTTCTTGTGTTTATATATATACACGGAGTGGCCAGATTATTATGCCCCGCCCCCATCAGTACTTCGTTGGGCCGCCTCGTGACTTCACGAGATGGTGAAAGGTGATGCGAGGAATCTGACACGGCACTGTTACCCTTCTGTTGTCTTGTACCAGTCTTGCCCCTCCCCCGTTCTGCCCTAACATTGACTAGTCGCTGACGGCCGCAATTCGTCTGTTCAGACCCAGATTGTCGGCTGACAGTCCGGTCTTTAAACACTTTAACAATGAGCCGCTCAAAAAAAGTGTATATAATAATCCGGCCACTCAGTGTATATAATAATCCGGCCACTCAGTGTATATAATAATCCGGCCACTCAGTGTATATAATAATCCGGCCACTCAGTGTATATAATAATCCGGCCACTCAGTGTATATAATAATCCGGCCACTCAGTGTATATAATAATCCGGCCACTCAGTGTATATAATAATCCGGCCACTCAGTGTATATAATAATCCGGCCACTCAGTGTATATATATATATAATATGCAAAAAAAGCATAAAAAACTAAAGCGAAAATTATTTTGGTTGGGAAATGAATCATGTTATTGTCAAGTCAACCAATCAAGTCTGAGCATCAATGGCCTCTGGTCATGAAAGGGTTTTTTTCGCGTCCGGCGTGGAACCGCGCTCGTACGTATTTTGATGCCACTGACTTACCAACAATGGCAATGTCAATATTTGATAAACCCCAACGTACGTTTAATTGGAGGAGCCGCTCTCATCAAAGATTCATTTCAAACTATTAATTAGAGCGACGGACTAATTATACCTCAACTCCCCGCGGCATTCGTGGTCGGGAGCGAACCTTGGGCCGGGAGAACGCAGGCTGCGCCATTCTTCCGAGGAATCCAATTAACGGAGGTGATGCCGGATGTCAAATGTCATAATCAGCGACGTTTTACAACATACGCTGTAAATTAGCTTCTAATTTCAGGGGATTCGCTTGCCAATTAGGACGGCTGTGAAAACGCAAATCAATTTCATCCCGGCCTTCCGACACGCAGCAACCGATCAGCCGATCTCTCTACCGGCTCCTCTCCTGGACTGAAATTGCTTTCTCTAAAGTCACAATGTGCATTAGAAGCTTCAGCGATAGAGCTCCGCCTCCCTGCTTCCTGATTGGCCAGGAAGCCAGCTCCATTGGCTGGGAAGCCAGTTTCCCGGCCGATCACAATTGAGTTGGCCAAACAACATGGAGCTGGCTTCCCGGGCAATGAGGAAGGCGGGCAGAATGTCACTACCCTCCGCCCGGCTACTTGATCACCCCGGGAAGCCGGCTTAATGCCAGGGGAAGCATCGGTACTCGGTACAGGCGAGTACCAAAAACCAAAATATTTGTACTCGTACTCAATACCGAAAAAACGGTATCGGTGCGTTCCTAATCATAATGAAGCCACACAGTTTGTGATTGACAGAAAATATGATCAATCGGTCATTAATCTAAAGGACTGAATAATAAAAATAGTTCAATTGATCTGTATTGGTCAAAAAGGAGAACTATGGTGTCAGGGCTTTTCCCCATAGTTCTCCTTAGGGTAACGTGAGGACACAAACTAGCGTCCTCCCGTCACCCTAGGCTCAGTATATAGGGAGCTACAGTTCGCGGTATACTGAGACACTGCAGCTGAAACGGATCCCGACAATTATGTCTGGATCCGTCTAGCTGCGTGAGTGACAGCTGGCTCTGCCTATCTAGAGGCAGAGCCAGCTGTACCCGCCCCCTCCCCCATCCGTTCCGCCAGTCAGCGCTGGCGGATCGGAGCGGGGAGGGGGGAATCCAGCCCCTCACCTGTCACGGCAGAGAGCAGTGACAGGATCGAGAAGTGAGCGAACGTCGGTATGCGTTCGCTCACCTCCCGATCTACTGAGCCGACCTGTGACAGTCTCATTGTCACAGGTCGGCTAGAACTATGAGGTGAGTGAAAATCACCCCCCTCATAGTTCTCCTTTAAGTTAAATGTAACTGTACAGAATGTTCAAAGCATTCTTATATTTATCATTTGAATCAAATAATATGACATTTACTAGTAAAGTTATACACAATGTACTGTTCTTTCTTATATCCATGCCCAAATAAGGAAACATTACAGTATGAAGATAGCATTCATAATGTATATTTTTTTTATAGACCTTTACATACTTTCAGTATTCTCGTGGCCCGCCTGTTTTGTAACTTTTAGGGGGTTATTCACAAAGCTAGCCGAAGGATCAGCCGCAGCTTCGGCTGATCCTTCGGCTAGCTTCGGTTGCGGGAGCCCTTCGCTTCAGTCGAACCAAGGGGTTGCTGTACGGGCTATTCACTATAGCGCCGTACACCTCCCGAATTGTAATTGGTGAGGGTGCTCTCCGCACACCTTTCAGCAATCCCGGCCAATAGAGATGAGGTGCTTGCAGTAACTCCCACGGATGGCACCGTGGGAGTATCTGCCGATATTCCGGCTGGCGCATGCGCACTAGAATCGTGGAGAATTGTATCTCCCCATCACCCTGGTTACGAATGACGTCTATCGTATGCGTCTAACCAGGACAGAAGGCGACGCTGTGTATACCACAGAAGGACACCGGATCGCAACACTGTCTCACATTCTCTACATCTTTAGCAGATCGCCATGATGACTGACATTACACCGCCACAGCTACCATTCTAAACCTCAGACTGGAGGTAACAAACTGTGAGTAACATGGATAGCATATATGTGTGCTTTTTAAACATGTCTATGTATTTTTTTTAAATGGCGTTTTTCCCGCCATTCTGACATCACTGGGGGAGTGTCTATTGATAATTGGTTCACATTATGGGGTATATATGTGGTGTGTGGACACCATCACATTGTCACATCTTTTGCCCTGAGGAAGGGACCCTGCGTGGCCCCGAAACGTTGGCTATTTGACTATTGTGACACGTATGTCCAATAAAAAGGACTATCTATCTATTTGAAATCATTTTGAGTGCTGGTAACCTATTCTTTCTACTTTGTACACCTCCCGAAGGCGCCGAGCGGCTCAGCTGAGCTGAAGGCAGTTATTATTCATTGGCCAGGACCTGCTAGAAGACTCTGGCAGGTTCCAGCCAATGGGAAACAGTTGGGCGGAGCTAGCTGTCACTGCTAGCTCCGCCCAATTTTCAGTATTATTATTTTTTTCTTTTTTTAAAATGTATTATTTCTTTACATTTTATTCTACTTTTTAACTTTATTTCCTATCCTGCTCGGTACCACGGAGGTACCGAGCAGAATAGCCGAGCCGAAAGTCGCTCGACGGCATTGGGCTCTTCACTCGGCCCCTATGGGAAGTTTTAGTAACAGAGGGTAAAGGTCGGCTTTAACCTAAATATGGTATATTTTACATGGATTCCATATACTGACTGCTCACATGCCTCGCTCAAACATAATCCCTATATAAACAATACCCTATAAACATATTAGCATTAGCGCAGACCCCCCATCCCCCGCCCCCCCCCTC